TTGAAATAAGAAAAACACATATTTCATTGGCAGATCATTTTACTTTTACTTTACTCAAGTTGAATCGACTCAAAAATTCACATGTTTTTAATTTAACCTCTGAGACTGGAGCTTCTGTCTGATGTGCATTTTTTATTCTTGATATTTGGGATAAGTAGAACCGACTCAGAACTAAACTTTGTTTTAATACAGTAAGTAGTTTTTGCAAAAAATAATGTCCTCATAGAAGAACAATGGGTTGATCTTACAGTTTAACACAAATAGAACCATTAGACCTGCTGTTCACACTTATCAACTTTTTTAAAGTATATTAAAACTTTACTTAAGCAAATGTACCACTTAAATTAACTATTTACAGCTGTAAATTCTAGTGTCGTAGACGGGTATTAGTCTTGAGACCAGACTCGAGATCGCTTTTTTACGGTCTTGGTCTCGACTTGGACTCAAGTACATTTGGACTTGGTCTTGTCTCGGTCTTGAGGGGCTGTGGTCTCGGTCTTGTCTTGGTTTCGACCTTTAACCTTCACACTCTCCTCGGGGTCACATAGACCTGAAGAACTTTTTTTTTTCCCTCTCTCTTGGGGCGGGTCAATCAGACCCAAAAAATAATTTTCTCGCCTAGCGAGAATTTATTTGAAAATACAGTGATCCCTCGCTATATCGCGCTTCACGGAATTTTTTACAGTGTTTTTTTTACAGTGAATCCTGATTGGCTTAGGGGCGTTACTGTTGTCTAGAAGTGAAAAAGGTTTATATTGGTTTTCTTACACCCATGCCAACAGTTTTCGTTTCTGTACATTCTGCCAAATTTACGTTCGCAATTTTTCTCCGTGACAAAACCCACATGTCAAAGAAACGTTCTGTGCCGACAAAGAGGCCTCCAGACGCGCCAAAGAGGCCGCGGAAATGCTAACTACATAACGATGTTTTTTCGGAAAGACCCCTGCGCAGCCTCTAGAAAAAGACGCTACAGCGCAACGGAGTCAGGACGAAGAGGCGCAGCTGGAGGACTGGAAATACGCGAGTGACAATGTTTCCTACCTTGTATTCATCTATATAAAATAGTTTTACAACACCGTTCTTTTAAACGTTATTTGTAAGAAAACGTTAATATTTCTATTCTTTAACATGTTGGGCCTGTTTCATTCTCAGTTCAGTATTGAGTAAAAAATAAAGCTGACTATTTGCGGGTTATTTTTGGAACGTTCCCCGCGATAAAAGGGTTCACTGTACATTTTTCAAATTCCCGCCATTTTTCTTTCACTGAAATTGGTGCAATGTCATGACATCACCAGCATATGGTGCAGGCTTTGTCCCTCTGTGTGGCTCACAGGTCAAAGTTTTAAAAATGTGAATATTGTGGTGCCAGGAAACAAAAATGTAACGTGCTTTTATGAGGACGTAGGGTCTCAAGAGGTTAAGTCATTTTAACTGATAAATATTGTTTTGGTTGTGTAATATTCACAGTGGAATCGAGAGTTTAATTTGAATGATTTATCGAAGTGATCAAATCTGGAGTTATTTTGATTGTAGAATGAAAAATCTGTCTTGTAGGTGTAATTTGAACTTCTACAGACATGTTCTGAAGTGTCCCGGTGCGTCAGATGCCCTCCCAGTGTCTCCTGAGCTCTTCTCTGTGTCATTTAGTTTCGACTTCTACAAACATGTTCTGAAATGTGTGGGATTCTTGTATAAGTTTATGAGTTCAAGTGTCAGGCTTCGCTCAGATGTGAACGCTCCTGGAATGTGCTGCGTGACCTCAATCACACCTTTCACATAAACCAAAAAAAAAATGTATTTCTTTCCCCAGAATCTGGCAGTTCTGGTTTTAATAACGTACAAAACCCACTAATTGTGCAGTTTTGACTCTTGCAAACATCATATTTCCATTTCATCTCAATTGTTAATACTGAAAAAGAATTTAGGGCTGTATTTTTATATTTTAATTGAGATTTGCTGCTTTGACTCTATAAATTTTGTGTAACTAAAACCATTAAAAGTCTAAAAATTTTATTATAAATAGGACAAAATATAAATATAAGGTTCAGAGTGGGAAGAATCCGTGTATCAATCGTTCATTAATTTTTCAAAATAAAACCAAAAATAAAAATGAAAATACAACTGTTTTCTTCATTATTTGTCTCAAAAACCAAAAAAAAAAAAGATAACGATTAATTTTTTCAGTTTTCAATTTTGCGTTTAAATGAAAAATGGAAAAAAGGGATAACGGACAGAACCAGGACTAAACCAGGACTAAACCAGGACTAAACCAGGACTAAACCAGGACTAAACCAGGACTGAACCAGGACTGAACCAGGACTAAACCAGGACTAAACCAGGACTAAACCAGGACTGAACCAGGACTAAACCAGGACTAAACCAGAACTGAACCTGAACTGAACCAGGACTAAAATCTGGACTAAACCGTTTTCAGTCCTGGTTCTGGTCCCGGTCTCAGTTCAGGTCTCTCAGGTCTCAGTCCCGGTCTCAGTCCTGATCCTGTTCCCGGTTCAGTCCGACATCACAGTTTAAGTCCGGAAATGGAGAACAGTTTTTTATCAGTTTTTTCATTTTGGTTTTGGAGACAAATAATTAAGGAAATCGTTATTTTTGGTTTTATTTTGAAAAACGAATGACACACAGATTGTTTTTTTTTTTCAGTTTTGTTGTTTTCAGGTTTTTTTTTTTTAGATATTATTTTATGTTTTTGTGTCTTGTTTTTTATGTTTATTATTATATTTTGTTTAAAAGTTAAATTCTAAAAGTTTATAGGAAATTCAAAAATCCGTATTGACAGAGATTTTTATCTGTTTTAAAAAGTAAAAATAAAACTGAATCAGAAATTGTGGTTGATCCAAATGACAAATGTACAAAAATATATATATATATATATCCACCACCATATTTCCCATCTGTACCAAAAAATAAAGTTGAAATCACAAACATTTCCCGGAAAAATAATGATTTTGTCATTTTTTTTTTTTTTTTTTTTCATCATCATCTGTCTGGAGTAAACAGTTTGTGCCGGTGCCACCTGTCGTGCACACAGCTGTCAGGAGCAGCTCCGCCTGTCGCTGTGGAGACTGACAGGAGCTTCGAGCGCATCAAACCTTTTTTTACTTCAATTTTCAAACTAAAATGATAAAGTTAAAGCTCCTATATTAAACCAAACTAACTCCTGAGAGATTTAAGTCCAGTTCTAATGTCGTTTCCTCGTCAAAAAACAGACCTGGAGCTGTGAATCTGTGTGTCGTTCGTTCATTTATTTTTCAATATAAATCCAAAAATAAGAAAACAAAAAAAACAACAATTTTCTTCATTATTTGTCTCCAAAACCAAAATGAAAAAAACAGATAATGATTCGTTTTTTCAGTTTTTGATTTTGTGTTTAAGTGAAAAATGGAAAAAACTGATAACGGACGTTTCCCGTTTACATGACGTCCGTGACTGCGATGCCGAACTTTTACGCTGCATACGGACTGAACCAGGACTGATCCAGGACTGATCCAGGTCCGGGACCAGAGCAGGACGAGACCGAGACCAGAGCAGACCAGAGTGGGACCAGAGTGGACCAGAGCAGGACCAGAGCAGGACCAGACCGAGACCAGAGTGGGACCAGAGCAGGACCAGACCGAGACCAGAGTGGGACCAGAGCAGGACCAGACCGAGACCAGAGTGGGACCAGAGCAGGACTCCGAGCTTTGACTCCGAGCCTCCGCAGGGTCCAAGCCTCAGCTTCGAGCTCCGGCCTCTGGTCTCAGTCCCGGTCTGGTCCCGGTCTGGTCTCGGTCTCTGGTCCCGGCCTGGTCTCGGTCTCAGTCCCGTTCTGGTCCCAGTCTGTCCCGGTCTGGTCCTGGTCTGGTCTCTGTCTCAGTCCTGGTCTGGTCCTGGTCTGGTCCCAGTCTGGTCCCAGCCTGGTCCCGGCCTGGTCTTGGTCTCAGTCCTGGTCTGGTCCTGGTCTGGTCTCAGTCTTGGTCTGGTCCCGGGTTCAGTTCTGATCTCAGTCACGGTCTGGTCCTGGTCTTGTCCCAGTCTGGTCTCTGTCTCAGTTCCGGTCTGGTCTCGGTCTGGTCTCAGTCTCGGTCTGGTCCTGGTCTGGTTTGGTCTCAGTCTGGTCTGGTCTGGTCTGGTCTCAGGTCTGGTCTGGTCTGGTCTGGTCTGGTCTGGTCTGGTCTGGTCTGGTCTGGTCTGGTCTGGTCTGGTCTGGTCTGGTCTGGTCTGGTCTGGTCTGGTCTGGTCTGGTCTGGTCTGGTCTGGTCTGGTCTGGTCTGGTCTGGTCTCGGTCCTGGTCTGGTCTGGTCTGGTCTGGTCTGGTCTCGGTCTCAGTACTTTACATTTATTCAATCACAGGTGGTTTTACAGCTCAAAAACACCTCGAAAAACTCACATTCTGACTGTGAGCGGGGTCGCCTCTCCACAGATCTGACCTGTAACTGGGTCTGCTTTGGTCGCCGTGAAGATAGAAAGGTTTAATGCCACACTGCGGAACATTTTAGACAAAGTAATAACATCACCACTGAGAAAAAGAAGAAGAATTTGACGCATTTTCCACCAGAAAAGTCACACGACGCATGTTTCAAGTCTTGATTTGAGTGACAGAGCTTCAGACAGAGCAGTGCGTCCAGTTAGCGTCGCACCCCGAGAAAATCAGGGTGTTTTATTGTTAGTTTTGTCGAGTCATGATCCGGCAAAAGTGCAAATAAAATAAATGAACAAACGCCGTCGGAAACCGTTTAAACTCTGCCTATAAACTCATAATGATGATGATTTATTTTGATCCTCATTCCCCTCTCCACATGCGCCTGCCGCTCCTGCCCCCTGCCGCTCCTGCCGCTCCTGCCGCTCCTGCCGCTCCTGCCGCTCCTGCCGCTCCTGCCGCTCCTGCCGCTCCTGCCGCTCAGATTTATGCAGAGTGTTGTGACGAATGGGGGCAGGATCTCTGGATATTATCGATTCTTCTCTCGCTCGGAGCCGATCGTAAAACACTGTCATCCCAACCTATGATTAGTATCGATGGACTCCGGTGGAACGCTCCTCGCGGCCTCCTCGCCGCCTCCTCGCTCCTCGCTCCTCGCCGCCTCCTCGCCGCTCCTCGCTCCTCGCCGCCTCCTCGCTCCTCGCTCCTCGCCGCCTCCTCGCTCCTCGCTCGCTCCACGCCGCCTCCAAACGCGCGTCCATCTCCAACGCTCAGAAGATTCCGGATTAAACATGACGAGTCGAGTCGAGTTAGAACTAGGGATGGGCATTCGATGAAATTTTCTTAATCGATCGTCGGAAGAATTAACCATCGATTATCGATTAATCATTAACGTTTTTATATTAAAATGATCATCATTATTATTACTATCTGCACTAATCTGCATAAATAAATTCAACTTTACGACATATAAACATAACGACTCTAGATCCACATCAGCTGTTTGACATTATAATGTGTTTAATTCAGTTTTGTTCAAATCTCACAGAAACAAAACTTAAAACCACATCACTAATTTACATAAACTAAGTGAAGATAAAACTCCAGCTCTTGTGTCGCTGATGTGGTTCAACTTGTGTTGGATTAAAAGACATGACTCAGGTGAATACAGGTCAGTGTGACCAGATTTGTGTTTGTCAAAACCAGGACAGCGTACGGGGGGAGGGGGGCGGGGCCTCGTCATCCACATTGAGCGACTCTCACCTGGAAAAACTTTTTCCCACTGGACACAGAAACATATGTGCTGCTTTATCCACTGTGCACATGGACTCACACTTGTCCCAACGCAACGGAAAGTGTGGAATTTCTTGTACAAGTCATCGTTGCACATCGTTCGCATTTGCACTTCAGTACGTTGCAGACTGACCGACATGTACACACCTGTTTGGTCACGATACACACAGAAACCTACATTCAGTTTGTCGGTTAAAATGAACGTAATCGATGAAATTCTTAATGATCAATTATTGATTAATCGACTAATCATGCCCATCCCTAGTCAGAACTAGTTAAGTGTTGTTCCGATTCCATTTTTTTGGGGAAACTACGACTTTTTTGGACCTTTTCTAAAGGTTCGTTCATACCAAGACGTCAAAGTGTCCAGTTTCTGTGTAAAGTTGATGTGGACGCGCGACTAGATCGTCCTGCGTTTTCGCGGTGCGAATCTGGCGTCAACACGGCGTGTCTTGAGCGTTTTGGAGTCCAAGGCGTCAGCGTCAAGAAGTTGAAAATGCTGAACTTTTCGCGTCAGACTCGCAGCATCGACCAATCAGGGACGAGTATCCAGAGACGCAGCGACGTTATTATCAGGAAGAAAAACCCCAGAACCAGAACGAGAAACACAAACATGAACGAAGAATAAATATATACACCACAATCACCGAGGACTAAACCAGGACCGGACCAGGACTAAACAAGGACTAGACCGGGAGTAGACTGAGACTAGACCAAGACTAAACAAGGACTAGACCGAGACTGATCCAGTGTCATTAGTGGAGTATAAATATATATACGTCCCAGTCGTTGACTCGATCTCCTCCGCTGATGTTTTATGTCATAAAAGCACTAAAGTCTCTCAGTCTGGTCTGACATTGTTTCGGGAAAAGAGCGGAACCAGGCTCTTGTTTCCAGGGCAACGGACGCGCATCAAATATTTTTGTCCCGTTCGTCCACGGCGTCAAACACACGAGCGTCGCGGGCGTCTGAACTCAAATGTAAAGGCTCCAAATAGAAACGTCAAGGTGTTTTTTGACGCTTTGGTGTGAACGAACCTTAAGAAGACCCTCTTGTAAGATCATTAAAAATACTCCATACTTTTAATATTTTTATAGTTTAATCAATTTTAAATGCTAATCGTATTTTTTATGACACCATGCGGCCTTGTCCCAGTTCTTCTTCTTTTTTTTTCCGATATTATTATTATTTTTCAGACAAAAAATGTTCACAAGAACAATTAACCACATTGTTAACACAGGTCAACATATAACCGAAAAAAAATTAATAAAAATAAAAATAATAATAATAACAAGCCAATATACACATTCACATATTCACTAAACAATATTCACTAAACAATTATTTACTTACAATTAATCAGTGGCAGGTAAGTCCGAGATTTATATTCAGTGACCATATGTACTTAAAAAAAAAAAAAAGAAAGAAAGAAAGAAAAATGGGTAGAAAAAATAAATAATTAAACAAATAGATAAATAAGAATAAAATATAAATGAATTGATTAAAAATAAAATAAAGTCTTGAATAAAGTTCTGATTAAACTCAAGACGGAACTATTCAGGAAAGTTTCAGTTTTATCCCGTTTGACTATTTAGATTCGATCCCAGTTTTAGTATCGAGTAGTACCTGACTTTCAATTAGTGTTGTTCCGATACCGATCCAATACCGATACTTGGCCTTGGTGTACTCGTCGATACTGATACTAGTCCAATACTGTAGTGTGAAGAAGTACACTTGAGGTTACTAAATTTTGTTGAGTGTTGAGTTCAAATTAGTCAGGTCCTGGTTTGATTAGTACCGGTTTTGGGGGACACGATCCGATACCGAAACCGATACTTGGCCTTGGTGTACTCGCTGATACCATTACGAGTCCGATACCATAGTGTGAAGAAGTACAATTAGGCTACTTCATTTTGTTGAGTGTTGAGTTCAAACTAGTTCCTGGTTTGAACTGGGTCTTGGTTTAGACCGGTGTTGTTCTGATACCACTTTTTGGGTGATCCAATACCGATACTTGGCATTAGTATACTCACCGATACCGATACCAGTCCAGTACTGTAGTGTGAAGAAGTACACTTATGCTACTCAGTTTTTTTGAGTGTTGGGTTCGAACTAGTCAGGTTCTGATTTAGACCAGTGTTGTTCTGATTTTTTTATTTTTTTTTTATTAAACAAATTGTTCTGCCTCAGTTGATAAAAATAAATAAATAAATAGTTTTGACTTTATCTGTTTTGTCTACTGCAGCTACCGTAGCGGCCATATTGTTTTAGGCTTTTCAACTGTCAGTGTCAACTGCCAGTGTTTTTGTTTTAGCTGTTCTTGTCAGTTTTTTATTCCTGTGAACTGTTTTTGGGCCTATAGAAATATCTGTGTGTGAGTATTGTAACACCATAACATACTAACTCACTCTATGAGGCACTTTGAATTGTTTTATTTTTGAGATCCCTGATAAAATGTAATATGCTAGTAGCGTTAGCCTTTCTAAGGAGATTACTATTGATGTTAGCATGATGCTAATTGGCTGTTGTATAGATGTTTTTTGTGATGTTGTTGATATTGTTGTATATATTTTGAATTGTTGAGTTGCCCTATGTTGTTTTATATAGCTCTGATTATTCTTTGTTTGTTGAAATGTGAAGATAAAATTGTAATATGGATTTATTTTTTGTATGTTACAGTTTTACAGTCAACCTTCAGTAAATATCCAAAACAGCAAGAGGCTTCCTGGGTGCTTATTGAGGATACTGTTCGCTATCTGTAAAGCTAGTTCCGAAACGCTAGTGGAGGCAGAATACAAATTCTAAATTCTAAAATTACCAAATGAAAGAAAGTATTTTTGCTCAATCCCTTCAGTCGTTCCTGATTTATGGCCTGTTGAAGTTTTGGTTTATAAACATGTTTGAGAGACCATAATTTCATAAAAAATAGAGCTAGGAAGCTGAAAACATTTATTATCGTAGATTCTTGGTCACAGATTCTGAATCTGTTGTCAAATATTGTGTTTGTTTATTAAGGCGGATGCTGGGGGCCCCCAAAATCTCACATTTGGTTGCCGCTCAATTTTTTTTTTTTTGTCAATTTTGAGGTCCAAGATCTATTTACTCCAAGCAGATATTTACAAACTCACTGTTAGAACCTGAATATTTGAGAGAATGAACATTTCTGACAAGAATCTCACACTTTTCTGAGCTTTCATGTGGACGGTGTAGAGCCCCAAATATGGACACAGACAAGATATTATCTTTTTGGCTCCTTCTTTGGACCCTTGGCTCCCCACGTGGACACAGTTAGATGTTGATAAAATAAAAGCGTTACTCAGACGTGTGTGAATGAGACAAAACACAACTCCAGGTCTGTTTTGGAGGAGGAAATATTATAACACGACTTAAAGCTCAAGAGTTCGTTTCGCGTAATATGAGACTTTTAAATATCATGTTTTTCTTGTTGAAGTGAAAGAACGACTCCTCTGGACTGACGCTCTTGTTCCCCTCTTGTGTGTTTTCAGAGTAACTCTTCGTGGCGAGCGGGGCCGTGTGTGGAGTGCGGTTGCCATGGCGACGTGGCGCTCTGTACCGACGCCGTGTGCCCGAACCCGCGGTGCGACTTCCAGAGGGTGAGACTCGACGTTCGTGTTGTTTGTTTGTGACGCTCGGGCGACGTGGAGGTCACGAGACGCCAACACGGGGTTTAATTCCAAAATAATACTGAAAACCTGTGACACCGTGTTAAAACGTTCCTCTAATCGGTTTGTTCAGTTAAATTTGGACTGAAAAGCTGATAAACGGTCTGATAAACAGAGCTTTCAATCTTCTTTTAATTCCTCAGACACAGACTTTTAATTAGAGCCATAAACGCATAAAAGACTCTCACTTTTCTTCCTCTAAAGTCTGAGCTCTTCTCCAAACCGTTTCCTCGGCAGGTCTGACCGTGGAGCGCTCTCTTCACACGATCATTAACCATCTGAAAGGTCCGGGCCTCCGTTTGATTAAAGTTTGATCCACTGCGCGAAACCTGGTTAAGGATCTAAACTGCAGGTCGTCTGTTCTGACATTTCATAGTCGTGAGTTTCTGCTCCCACTTGACCATTCGTTCCGTCAAAACCCCGATTGGCCAAGTTCAAAACCTCACGACAAGGCTCCAACTAGAAAAGGAACAAAATCGAACGAGGGATAGATTGCGATTTCGATGATGGCCTGAGATTTTTAATGGACGGATCAACGGACGATCGTTGTGGTCAGTGAAGAAGCGTGAAACTGACGAGGATTTACACTGTTGTTTAGGAAGAAGAA